GGGCCATCCAGTCCAACCCCATTCTGCCAAGAAGCAGGAATATTGCATTCAAATCACCCTGACAGATGGCCATCCAGCCTCTGTTTAAAAGCTTCCAAAGAAGGAGCCTCCACCACACTCCGGGGCAGAGAGTTCCACTGCTGAACGGCTCTCACAGTCAGGAAGTTCTTCCTCATGTTCAGAAGGAATCTCCTCTCTTGTAGTTTGAAGCCATTGTTCCGCGTCCTAGTCTCCAGGGAAGCAGAAAACAAGCTTGCTCCCTCCTCCCTGTGGCTTCCTCTCACATATTTATACATGGCTATCATATCCCTCTCAGCCTTCTCTTCTTCAGGCTAAACATGCCCAGCTCCTTAAGCCGCTCCTCATAGGGCTTGTTCTCCAGACCCTTGATCATTTTAGTCGCCCTCCTCTGGACACATTCCAGCTTGTCAATATCTCTCTTGAATTGTGGTGCCTAGAATTGGACACAATATTCCAGATGTGGTCTAACCAAAGCAGAATAGAGGGGTAGCATTACTTCCTTAGATCTAGACACTATGCTCCTATTGATGCAGGCCAAAATCCCATTGGCTTTTTTTGCCGCCACATCACATTGTTGGCTCATGTTTAACTTGTTGTCCACGAGGACTCCAAGCTCTTTTTCACACGTACTGCTCTCGAGCCAGGCATCCCCCATTCTGTATCTTTGTGCAACTTTACAAAAGCATATTCATATATACCAGTGGTTCTCCACCTGTGAACCCCCAGATTTTTTGGACTACAACCCCCAGAAATTCCAGCCAGTTTACCAACTGCTAGGATTTCTCGGATTTGTAGGCCAAAACATCTGGGGACCCACAGGTTGAGAAACACTGATGTATACCTTTTTGATGAACTGGATTTGAAGCTTGGCCATTGTGTTCAGTGGTTCATTCTGCAGTCTTTCATTGGGAGTGTTTACATAAGTCTTCTTATCATTCGTACATCATTCACAGCGAATAAACCTGATGGTCTATTGTGTCATAACCCCCGCCTCCAATGACTTATGCTTGCAAGTCACCCAATTGTGTGATTCACAGAGACCACGAAGGAGAACAGGTTGCTTACCTGTAACTGTATTTCTTCAAGTGGTAAGCAGCCTGTCCTTATCAAACTTAGCACCCAAAATATTGGGTTAAGAATGCAGAGATAAAACCTATTTCAGGTGCTTAATTCTTAGAAAGTTCTTTACAGACCAGACAAGATATGTATTGGGTTGTTGTAGGTTTTTTCGGGCTATATGGCCATGGTCTAGACCAGTGGTTCTCAACCTGGGGTTCCCCAGATGTTTTTGGACTACAATTCCCAGAAATCCTAACAGCTGGTAAACTGGCTGGGATTTCTAGGAGTTGTAGGCCAAAAACATCTGGGGACCCAAGGTTGAGAAGCACTGATCTAAAGGCATTCTCTCCTGACGTTTCGCCTGCATCTATGGCAAGCATCCTCATAGGTAGTGAGGTCTATACATACTAAATTCTTCCACCTTGGTCTTTATGTCGAATTTGGGAAGCTGCCCTGATCCCCCATTTGCCTGAGGAGGTTTCACTGATCTAAAGAATCCTGTGCCACCTGGCAGATTTTAAAATTAAAGCATCAAAATCTTTGTGCGGTCACAGAATTTAAGTAGGAGCTCAAGCCAGCCTTTGCTAATTGTAATATGACAGTTCGCTAGAGTCCATTGACCTGGGCCCGGTCCTGTTCAACATCTTTATTAATGACTTAGATGAAGGGTTAGAAGGCAGGATCATCAAGTTTGCAGACGACACCAAATTGGGAGGGATAGCCAATACTCCAGAGGACAGGAGCAGGATTCAAAACGATCTTGACAGATTAGAGAGATGGGCCAAAACTAACAAAATGAAGTTCAACAGTGACAAATGCAAGGTACTCCACTTTGGCAGAAAAACGAAATGCAAAGATACAGAATGGGGGATGCCTGGCTCGAGAGCAGTACGTGTGAAAAAGATCTTGGAGTCCTCGTGGACAACAAGTTAAACATGAGCCAACAATGTGATATGGCGGCAAAAAAAGCCAATGGGATTTTGGCCTGCATCAATAGGAGCATAGTGTCTAGGTCCAGGGAAGTCATGCTACCCCTCTATTCTGCTTTGGTTAGACCACACCTGAAATATTGTGTCCAATTCTGGGCACCACAATTCAAGAGAGATATTGACAAGCTGGAATGTGTCCAGAGGAGGGCGACTAAAATGATCAAGGGTCTGGAGAACAAGCCCTATGAGGAGCGGCTTAAGGAGCTGGGCATGTTTAGCCTGAAGAAGAGAAGCCTGAGAGGGGAGATATGATAGCCATGTATAAATATGTGAGAGGAAGCCACAGGGAGGAGGGAGCAAGCTTGTTTTCTGCTTCCCTGGAGACTAGGACGCGGAACAATGGCTTCAAACTACAAGAGAGGAGATTCCATCTGAACATGAGGAAGAACTTCCTGACTGTGAGAGCCGTTCAGCAGTGGAACTTTCTGCGCCGGAGTGTGGTGGAGGCTCCTTCTTTGGAAGCTTTTAAACAGAGGCTGGATGGCCATCTGTCAGGGGTGATTTGAATGCAATATTCCTGCTTCTTGGCAGGGGGTTGGACTGGATGGCCCATGAGGTCTCTTCCTTGATTCTATGATTCTATGTCTGAGTTTCCTTGTTGGAGGTTACGTTGTCCCTCAAGAGCTGGAGCAGGCAATATCTCCAGTCCCATTTGCCTTGCCTTGCCCTCTCCTTGTAGAAGGATGTGGCATTCCTCCCAACATTTTCTCTTAATTGTCACCATTGATCTCTACCTTTGGAAAAGTACTTCCAACGTAGTATTTGAACCACTATAACCACTAAAAAGGTTCTCAGTAAGTAGCCTACATTGACTGGCAGCAGCTCCTCAGAGGTTGGCTTCTCAACAGGTTGCAAGGCTAGTCACAAGACGCTTTTCCTCAAGGAGGTATCCAGCTGGATTTCTGGAATTAAATACCTTGGCCACCGAAAGCTTTAGTCACATCCCTCTACACTGATTGTTCTGCATTGTTAGCTGCAGGCAAAGGTGGACCGTCAGTGAGTCACATGGATAACACCCACACAATCCATTAGAAGCATCCTTTGTCCCAAGTCATCAGAGGGAGGCAGGTGCGTAGTCCCTTAAGTGATGATCAAACAGGATATGATTGATGAAATGCTGGCATTGTTTGCCTTGAGGGAAACAGGACCCCAAGATGAGGCAGCTGTGCCACATGGGTGAGTACAACTCACAAGAGTCAGCCAGAGGGAGAAACTGGAGGCTGAAGGCAGTCTCAATGCTATCACACCAAGGAAGTGCTGCTGGGCAATAGCTGATCTGCCTGATGCCACCACCATCACATGCTCTCAGATACCAACAAGAAATCATTTGTATCCCAGATGTGAACAGGTCCCTTCCCAATTTAAAATATTTCATTTGGGTTCCATCTTCTCTCACATTTAGATTTAATAAAATCATTCTATGTATTGTCGAAGGCTTTCATGGCTGGAATCACTAGGTTCTTGTGGGTTTTTTCGGGCTATAGGGCCATGTTCTAGAGGCATTTCTCCTGACGTTTCGCCTGCATCTATGGCAAGCATCCTCAGAGGTAGTGAGGTCTGTTGGAATTAGGACAATGGGTTTATATATCTGGAATGGCTGGGGTGGGGCAAAGAGCTCTTCTCTGCTGGAGCTAGGTGTGAACGTTTCAACTGACCACCTTCATTAGCATTTGAAGGCCTGGCTGAGCCTGGGAAAATCTTTTGTTGAGAGGTGTTAAGATGTGCCTGGTTGTTTCCCCTCTGCTGTTTTGCTGTTGTAATTTTAGAGTTTTTAATACTGGTAGCCAGATTTTGTTCATTTTCATGGTCTCTTCCTTTCTGTTGAAATTGTCCACATGCTTGTGGATTTCAATGGCTTCTCTGTGTAGTCTGACATGGTGGTTGTTGGTGTGGTCCAGCATTTCTGTGTTCTCAAATAATATGCTGTGTCCAGGCTGGTTTATCAGGTGCTCTGCTATGGCTGACTTCTCTGGTTGAAGTAGTCTGCAGTGCCTTTCATGTTCCTTGATGCGTGTCTGGGCAATGCTGCGTTTGGTGGTCCCTATGTAGACTTGTCCACAGCTGCATGGTATACGGTAGACTCCTGCAGAGTCTACCGTATAGCTACCAGTATTAAAAAACTCTAAAATTACAACAGCAAAACAGCAGAGAGGACACAACCAGGCACATCTTAACACCTCTCAGCAATCCGGGGATCGAGGTGAGAGCCCATCTGTCAGCTCCAGCTTCTTATGCAGGGACATGAGAGAAGTCTCCCACAGGATGGTAAAACATCTGGGCGTCCCCTGGACAATGTCCTTGCAGGCAGCCAATTCTCTCACACCAGAAGCGACTTGCAGTTTCTCAAGTTGGTCATGACATGGAAAAAAGTAAGCAGGATTTTCAGGCACATATGCAAGGCTTCAATGACACTGCAAAGGAACCCCTTCCTCCATGGAAACCCAACTGGATAGAGGAGGGAGAATGACATTATTTCATCTCATCCATCAGGCTGTTTTGGTAGAACCAAGCTGTACTGTCTTAGAACTATTCTGCTAAAACTACAAAAGCCTCTCTTTCCATGCTTGTCATGAAAAATGGTACAAGTTGATTTAGAATCACGACAGGTTTTTAACACGACTGTCGAAGGCTTTCATGGCCGGAATCACTGGGTTGTTGTAGGTTTTTTCGGGCTATATGACCATGTTCTAGAGGCATTTCTCCTGACGTTTTGCCTGCATCTATGGCAAGCATCCTCACCTCACTACCTCTGAGGATGCTTGCCATAGATGCAGGCAAAACGTCAGGAGAAAATGCCTCTAGAACATGGCGATATAGCCCGAAAAAACCTACAACAACCCATTTAACACGACTCTTGGTATCCGTTTTTTAACAGGATGTCACACTTCCTTTTACCTAATGTGTTTGGATGGAATAAAGGCCAAAGTAATATTACAAATCTCAGGTTTTTATTAAAATTCAAATAAGTTACAATAGCAAAAACACTTAAGACATTTGAGCAAGAATTAAATACGGAATTGTTATGTAGTCCAAGTATATTTCACAGAAATGTTTCTTATCAAAACAAGAACCATAATTGAAAACTCGTTCTTTCTGGCAACAAAACACTATTCAGGAAGATCCAACTATCCTTCACAAACACCTTGATTGTAAGATTTTGAAAATAGGGGAGAGTCTGTAAACACATTTCTTCATTTGTAACAAAGCAGGGAAAGAAAAGGGCATCTTGGCCACCAAATCAACACCTCAGAAAGCTATAGAACTCCTTTATGGGCCAGAAATAAAACCTGGCTGGGCTTGAATGCCTATCCCAAGAAGACAAGAGGTTAGCAATGAAGCATCTCTTTATCTCTTCCTAGTGTACCCAATTAATAAGCAAAGAAGGCCAAATGTGTGAGACGATCACCCCATCTCAACAGGAACTGTTTCAAGCTTTAAATACCCCTCCTAAATAAACGATATGAAACACCATGTTTCTCCATCTTGTTTGCCTTCTCAATGAAGTGGACAAAAGAAAAATGTAAAACATTATTTTCTCTCAAGGCAGAGGTAAGGAAAGCAGGATATTCACACAAATAAGGACTTGAGGAAACTATCGCTATCCTTCTTCCTCCCTCCAGCCAGAAATAAAAGTTCACTAGATTTAAACATACAGATCAGGTCAATTTCAGATGCTTTTTCAGACATTTATGAACAGGCAATAGAAAAGTTCATCAGGGGAGGGGACAGAATTTAAAAATGCCATATAAATACAAACTATGTGCGAAGAAGTAATAGAAAACACTCGATTCTTCTTGAAAGAGAAATCAACTAGTATCCCGTGTGACTGGACATAATGCATTAGCCTTTCCTCCTCTTCATGTTTCATAAATACATAGGACAAACTATCTGCAAAGAAATAGAAATACTCTTGATTCTTCTTGAAAGAGAAGTCAGCTGGCATCCCACATGACTGGTCATGATGCATTATCCTTTCCTCCTCTTTCTGTTTCATCTCCCAACTCCTGCTGCATTTCACGTATCAGAAAATGATGGACCAGGGATGAGACTCTTTCACGTGTGGCAACCGGAGGGTTCATCAACCTTTGTCATCCTCCAGATGTTGCAGGGAAGGAACACCCTGGGAGTAGCCGAGGCCCAGCTTCGCCAAAACTTGTAAATGGCAAGGAGGTGACATTCTCCTGAGGCAGCATGTCATCAGCTTGGTTGCGTCAAGCCTTCCACATTCCTTCAGATGATGTAGCAAGTCATGAGCGCCAAGTCCTTCACGTCAGGCCCGTAGGCTGGAGGGGAGGAAGAGGCACGGATGTGAACAACAGGCAAGCATGACCCCATTTTGCATTCAAATATTCAAAATGCTAATTCCATCTCAAGTGCCACTCTTGTTACAGACTCTCACCTCCCAGGAACCAGACATTAAAGCGGGAATGTATTTTATCTAAACGACTGTAAACCAGAACACCTAATCTCCTCCTACAGAAGCAAGTTAGGTGCACTATAATCATGGGCTCAATTCCGCAAAATCCAGTCCCACTGTAATACAGCCATGGGGCTCTCACTTTCAAGGACTCTGCCTCCCTGCCGTTAACCCATAAATAAAGCACAATTGTATTCTAAAGACAGAAATAAGCAAAAGGGATGAATGAACACAATCTTGAAGGAGTAAAATGTGGAGGCAGCAGAGGAACAATCGGCATCTATTTCGGTCTCGTTGGGATTTCCCTGCCTCTCCTTAAAGCACCATCAGAGCTTGCATGGTGCAGTAGTTCAAAAATAAGCCTGGAACCTGGGAAAATCCAGCTCTAAGTCTCCACTGAGCATTTCAACTTAGTTGGTGACCTGTTGAGCCAGTTAGTCCATCTCAACCTGGCCTGCCTCATAGAGAAATTGCAAATGTGGGAACAAATTCATGCTGATTGCTTTGGCCTATTTGGCAGAAAGGCAAGACTAAGACACGTGCTAACCATCAGTAAACGCCTCTAGGAAAGAATGTCAGATACGAACTACTCTCATGAAGTCGATGGCTTTGTTTTCTTTGATGCTCCACTTAACATTTAAAAGCGTTTGATGCACTGTCATCTATAAAAGGTGTTCAACAAATAGAGTTGGGTAGTAATGAAAGCAGCTAACATTTCATTAAGCTGGAAAAGATACGGGGGAGGTTATTTATTTTGTCTCAAAAGCATTGCATAAATTAGTATAAAAACTGATAAAAATAAAAGGAGCATAAGCGGCTAAATATCTTTTGACCAAAAACAGGCAACAGCAATGGCATTGTCTGTAGCCTCCAACAATTCTTCCTCTCTACATGAGGCAGGGCATAGTGGACAAGCATACAGATGCAGAGTTATCTGTTCTGCTCCACATTCATACAAGATGTGGGATTCTTTTAGGTCGTGACATTTTGCCAGGTTGTCTTCCATCTGAACATGAGGAAGAACTTCCTGACTGTGAGAGCCGTTCAGCATTGGAACTCTCTACCCCGAGTGTGGTGGAAACTCCTTCTTTGGAAGCTTTTAAACAGAGGCTGGATGGCCATCTGTCAGGGGTGATTTGAATGCAATATTCCTCTTTGATTCTATGTTATGTGAATTTGATCTGCTCACTCCACTTCTGAGTCTATTCAGGGACTTCCAAGTGGCCCATTCTTGGTTTGCCCCTGGGGAAGACCCTCTCTTGTGGGGGGCCATCCAGTTGGGATTTCCTGGTTTAGCTGCCCAGAGGGATACCCTTCCAGGGGAGATTATACTAATGCGCTTGACTTCAACCATCAACTTCTTTTTGTGTTCTTCATGATACCCCCAAAGCTACAGGCCCCTTTGAAAATGACAGTGATTTGCCACCAAGTCACAAAATTACTCCCAAACATAGTAGTTTAGGTTGTTTCATTATTCCATGAACCTGCAACCATGGGAGCAAAAATGCCCTTCAAAGCCCCTCAAAGCGATCACGTGATTTTGTGCTGCTTCGGAGTCACTGAAGATGTTCAAATGCATCTCAGAATGGGGCAATGTAGGGGCCTAAATAAGCTTCCGTTCTGGCTGAGTGGCTTACTCCAGTTTCCAGCATCACTTTGTAAAGCATGTGCAATCCTGGACAGATAACAGCAGCACAAAAGGAAGAAGCCATCTCTCAATGGCCCGCTCCATCCTGTCCATCCTGCTTTGTTCTTTTGCCTGGAGCATGGACAGATTTCACAAGCTGTACACCAAGGACACCCAACACAACCACAGCAAACACATACAAGCATCACTCTCATTACTTCAAATCAGTTCTGACTCATGGCAGTCCTAGCACAAGGTTTTTTCAGAGCCAGTTTTACTCAAAAGAGACCATGTCTTCCTCTGAGGCAGAGAGTATGACTTGCCCACAGTCACCCAGTTGGTTTCATGCCTGAATTTGACCTGCCTTCCAAAGCTCTAGTCCAAAACTCAAATTACTTCACCACAGTGGCCCATGACCAATGCAAGGGAATGAGAATCTTTTCTGGATATTTAACTGTGTGCCTGTTCCACTTAAAATTAAAAGTCCTAAGGTACATCAGGCCTACTTATTACATGATTGATTTGAATACTGTTTTGTTTACATCCAAAGAATTTTGAATGGCACAGAATACTTCTAAAGGTCTGGCAATTTCTAGAGAAGCATTCTTCTTGGCCTCCTGTGCAATTCTATTGTCAACTTCTTCCAGATTGTGAGAGAGACTAAAGATAACACTTCTCTAGGAATCAATAGGCTCTCCAAAACACTTCTGTGGTATGCATTGGTTAAAAGCTCAAGACATCATTCATTTCAGATAGAAAAGTTTATCACAAAATTGTATCACACACAGGGTTTGGGAATTGATCTTTCATGAATACACATGCCTATATTGTATTTAAAAAAATGTAAACTGACAAAAGCATTATGCCAGGACAGGGTAACCTCATACCAGGGATCAATAAGACCTTCCAGGAGTTCCTCAGATGGATCTATCCTCCATAAGACCTTCACTGTTTGGTTTCCCATTTTTGTACACTGGTTTCTTTTGATTCCTTAAGAGGCTAAAACAGATATGGGCAAACTTTGGCCCTCTGGGTGTTTTAGACGTCAACACCCACAATTCCTAACAGCCCACCGGGTGTTAGGAATTGTGGGAGTCACAGTCCAAAACACCTGGAGGGCCAAAGTTTGCCCATGCCTGGGTTAAAATGACTATCCTAAGATGTAGTTAAAATTAAATTTGCTGGAAGAAACATACAACCTTAGATATGCAGATGATACCACTTTGATGGCCAAAAGCGAGGAGAAGCTGAGAAGCCTTCTAACCAAGGTGAAAGAAGCAAGTGCAAAAGCTGGGTGGCAGTTAAACATCCAAAAAAAAACCCAAGATGATGGCAACCAGATTGAGGGAGAACTGGCAAATAGAGGGAGAAAACGTGGAGGCAGGGACAGACTTTGTATTTCTAGATGCAAAGATGACTGCAGACGCAGACTGCAGCCAGGAAATCAGAAGACATTTCCTTCTTGGGAAGAGAGCAATGACCAATCTCAATAAACTAGTGAAGAGTAGAAACATCACACTGGCAACGAAGATTCGCATAGTTAAAGCAATGGTATTCCCTGTAGTAACCTATGGATGCGAGAGCTGGACCATAAGAAAGGCTGAGCAAAGGAAGATAGATGCTTTTGAACTGTGGTGTTGGAGGAAAGTTCTGAGAGTGCCTTGGACCGCGAGAAGATCCAACCAGGAAATAAAGCCCGACTGCTCATTGGAGGGAAGGATATTAGAAGCAAAGTTGAAGTACTTTGGCCACATCATGAGAAGACAGGAAAGCTTGGAGAAGACAATGATGTTGAGGAAAATGGAAGGAAAAAGGAAGAGGGGCTGACCAAGGTAAGATGGATGGATGGATGGTATCCTTGAAGGGATTGGCTTGACTCTGAAGGAGCTGGGGGTGGTAACGGCCGACAGGGAGCTCTGGCATGGGATGATCCACGAGGTCACGAAGAGTCAGAAACGACTGAACGAATAAATAACAAGAAGATTTAGTAGCATTAAACACATTATGTTAATACACACTGGCATTTTAGGTCCAACCAGGATTCGAATATCACCATGTTGAGAACTACTCTGAAAGTGAATGTGGTCTGGGGGCTTAAAAGCTACTTCACTCCAGGCATAAACCTTTGTCCACTACGGCCAAGTGCATCAAGTCTTAACTATTCCACCTTCATCAATACAAAGAAGTGGACAAAAATAAATATTTCTTATTCATCACCAGAATTCATATGGAGACTTATAATTCTGGGAAACAGAAGTTAACACATCTGCAACATTCAGCTGAAGGCTGCTATCATGTTACTAAGTAGGAGAGAAAGCAGACCCAGGTGTATTTGGACAGTGACTAAAAATGCCCAAAAACATCAAAGGAGCCTGATGCACACTAGGACACATGTCGTTTTCAGAATCAAACCTACTTTGACGGTTCAGCGCCAGGCTATTTGGCTGACCGCATCCCCTTGTACGAACCTGGCAAGCCCTGAGATCTTCAAGAGAGGCCCTTCTCTCAGTCCGACCTCCATCTCAATCTCATTTGGTGAGAACGAGAGCAGGCCTTCCTTCTCAGTGGCTGCTCCCTGATTCTGGAACTCCCTTCTTCCCAGGAAAGCCAAAATGGCCCCTTCCCTGCTGTCTTTTTGGCAGCGGGCTAAAAGCCCTATAACAGTGTTTCTCAACCTGGGGGTTGGGACCCCGGGGGGGGGGCACAAGAGGGTGTCAGAGGGGTCGCCAAAGACCATCAGAAAACACAGTATTTTCTGTTGGTCATGATGTTGTGTTTGGGAAGCTTCGCCCAATTCTATCATTGGTGGGGTTCAGAATGCTTTTTGATTGTAGGTGAGCTACAAATCCCAGAAATTGCAACTCCCAAATGTTATTTTTCCCAAACTCCACCAGTGTCCACATTTGGGCATATTGAGTATTCATGCCAAATTTGGTCCAGATCCATCCTAGCTTAAGTCTCTGGATATAGGTGAACCACAACTCCAAAACTCAATGCCCACCAAACTCTTCCAGTATTTTCTCTTGGTCATGGGAGTTCTGTGCCAAGTTTGGTTCAATACCATCGTTTGTGGAGTTCTGAGTGCTCTTTGATTGTAGGTGAACAATAAATCCTAGCAACTACAGCTCCCAAATGACAAAATCAATCCCCCCAACCCCACCAGTACTCAAATTCGGGCATATCAGGTATTTGTACCAAATTTGGTCCACTGAATAAAAATATATTTACATGAATATTCA